TCTCACCAACCCGCACACAATCATATCTCCCCTCATACGTCGGGACGCACCCGGCCACGTATGGGGTTTGTCAACACGCCGGCTAATCCAAAGACGCGTACGACCTCAACACCGGGCCTGACTACATTCTCACCAGCCCTCATACTCACTTTGGCCTGGCTACATTCTCACCAGCCATCATACTGTTCACTTTGGCCTGGCTACATTCTCACCAGCCACACGGGTTTAAAGACCTCAACATGATCACAATATGGGGGGGGAGGGGTACGTGGGGTAATGCGTATAGCACTGTAAACTAACATTCGATCGCTTTATTTACCTTTATACATCCACGCAATTAAATATAAAAATATAATTTCTATTCCTAAATGAACCTCAACCCTGGTATAGCATCTGATAATTTCGCAATTTAAATCATATATAATATTCTAAATTCACGTATAAACCATTTAACTCAACAACACTCAAGACCTACCACTAAGGTCATTCTAACCCTCCTGGGATGGTAGAACTACAACGAAAGTCTAGCGGTCAACCCAGGGTCAAACTACCCAAACTCGGTCAAACAGGCCCTCGGGGCCCACGACCTCCAAATTATGATCCGAAAGTTCCTATAGGTTCTACAAAGTCTAGGACACACGTCCTGCAAGTTTGGTCCAGATTGGACGGTCGGATCGCTCACGATCGCACAATCGGACGGTCACTAAAACCCTAACCCTAGGGTTGGCATTTCCGGAGTATCCGGGACTCCATTTTTCGATCCGTCGAATCCTACACGATCCTGGTAATACCCAGATCAACATATTATAACTTCAGGACCATCCAACGGTCCAAACCTAGCGAACCCGAAAAATACGCGATATACGATATCCGTTCGGAACTCTAACAGTATCCAAAATGAGATCCGAGCACACCTACGCGCTCGTGACATCGAGAGAATCACAGTGGGACAAAAATACCCCTTAGCTACAGTGCCCACGCGCCGCCACACGTGCCGTCAGCGCGTGGGTGTCTAAAGCGATATCGCATCGCCGGAAAACTTCCAAATCGTGAGCCAAGACTCCTACCCTAGGTAATACACCTAATTTGGAGTCACTTTTGTTCTTGG